AGTTGGTGGTTCCAAGCCATTTTTGGGTGGTTCCAAGCCATTTTTGGTGGTTCCAAGATGGAGTTGGTGTCTCCAAGCCGTTTCCGGTGGTCCCAAGATGTCTGACCTTCCCCGACGCCGCGGTGCTCTGTCCCTTTCCGACGTTCTCCAGCCGTTCCGGGCGCTTTGGGCCATTTCGGGGCGTCTCCTCCGCTCTGGGGGTTTGACACCATCTTGGCTGGGTTGGGCCATTTTTGGTGGATTCCAAGACATTTTCTGCTGCTTCCAAATGTTTCCAAGATTTCTCCATTGGGCTCATATCATTTTTTGGTGGGTTTGAGCCATTTTTAGGTGATTTTACCCATTTTTTGCTGGTCTCAAGGCTTTTTCTTTGGTTTTGGCCATTTTTGGGTGGGTTTGGGCCATTTTTGTCGCCATCAAGACAGTTTTGGTGGTTTCAGAAAGATTTTTGGTGGGTTTAAGACTTTTTCGTTGGGCTCGTGTCAATTTTTGGTGGGTTTAGCCCATTTTTGGGGGCTTTGGGGCCAATTCCAGGTGAGTTTCTCCACATTTCCTTGGTCTTTCACCATTTTTGCTCCACTCCAGACATTTTTTGAGGGTTTCAAGGGACTTTTGTTGGTTTCCACCATTTTTTGGTGGGTTTAGGCCAGTTTTTGGTGCTTTAGGGCAAATTTTGGGTGGTTTCAGCCATTTTTGGGATGGTTCTACCCATTTCTCACTGCTTTGAACCCACTTTTTTCACCTTTGGCCCATTTCTGGTTTCCGCCATTTTTCGTCGCTTTCAACACATTTTTAGTGCTTTTTGTCCCATTTTCATCACTTTTACCCATTTCTGCAGCCTCTAATCCATTTTTTCTTGATTTTAACCCAGTTTTGGGTGGTTTTCTCCATTTCCCATCACTTTCCCCCCATTTTTCATCATATTGAATCCATTTCTCACCACTTTTAATCCTATTTTTGTCCCTTCCACCCATTTTTGTGGCTTCGAACTCATTTTTTTTTTGTCACTTTTGACCAATTTTGTGACATTTTAGGCCCATTTTTCTGACTTTACACCCATTTTTGTCACTTTAAATCCATTTTGTGTCACTTTTCACTAATTTTTCGTCACTTTTCAGCCCTTTTTTCATTGATTTTCCACCCTTTTTATCACTTTTCACCTCTTTTTCATCATTTTTCTTTCATTTCTGGTCACTTTGATGCCAATTTTTGCCACTTGAACCAATTTTCATCTAATTTAATCCATTTCTGGGTCGTTTCAGACATTTTTTCATCTCTTTTACCCCATTCTTCTCACCTTCAACCCATTTTTCATCCCTTTGAACCCAATTTTTGTCACTTCAAGCCATTTTCACCTGATTTTTGTCACTTTTCAGCCGTTTTGTTTTTCCACTACTTCTCATTACTTTCAACCCATTTTTGGGTGGTTTTACCCATTTTTGACAGTTTTCACCCATTTTTGGTCACTTTTCACCCATCTTCGTGGCCTTTCACCCATTTCTGTCGCCCCTCACCCATTTTTTGCTGCTTTCAACCCGTTTTTGGGGTGGTTCAACCCATTTTTTTGCCATTTTCCTGCCATTTTTACCCCATTTTTTGTCACCTTAACCCATTTTTCAGCACTTCTAACCCATTGTTGGGTGGTTCTACCCATTTTTTATCACTTTCAACTTTTTTCAACACTTTTCCACCACTTTTAACCCATTTTGGGGTGGTTTCCTCCACCTCTCCTGGTCTTCAACCCATTTTTCGTCACCGTTCCACAATTTTTCCACCAATCCTTGCCATTTTCCACCACTTTTTACCATTTTTTTGATGTTTTTCTACCATTTCATGACGTTCTCCACCACCTCCTCCCACCCAAACCCCAAGGGGTTGTCCTCTGCCCCTCTGGAGCCTACACAGGGACTGATCTCCCCCCCAGGTTGTCCTCCCCATGCTGGAGCCTCCGTGGTGTTCTCCACCCCCATGGTGTTCTCAACCCCGCGGTGTTGTCCTCCCCCACGGAGGTTCTTCTGCCCCATGGAGGCTCTCCCCCACCATGCAGGTCCTTCTGCCCCACGGAGGCTCTCCTCCCCCACCATGCAGGTCCTTCTGCCCCATGGAGGTTCTCCCCCACCACGGAGCCTCCACAGGGGTTGTCCTCCCCCAGGTGCTTCTTCCTCCCCCACGAGGTTCTCCTCCTGCATGAGGAAGCCTCCCCAGGGCTTGTCCCCCCCCAAGGGAATGGTCCTTCCCCAGATGGTTGTCTTCCCCTACTGTGGAGCCTCCATGGTGGTTTTCCTCCACCAGACGGTTCTCTTACCCCATGGAGGTTCTCCTCCCCCACCGTGGAGCCTCCCCAGGGGTGTCCTCCCCATTGAGGGCTGACCTACCCAACTGCAGAACCTCCACGGGGGTTGTCCTCCCCACTGTCCTCCCCCACAGTGTTGTCCAATCCCATGGAGATTTTCCTCCCCATGGAGGTTCTCCACCCTCACTGTGGAGCCTCCACAGGGGTTGGCCATCCCATGGGGATTGTCCTACCCAACTGTTGAGCCTCCACAAGGGTTGTCCTCTCTATTGTCCTCCCCCACGGTGTTCTTCATCCCCATGGAGGTGATCCTCCCCCCACAGTGTTCTCCACCCCCAGGAGGTTCTCCTCCCCCACAGTGTTCTCCTCCCCCACAGAGGTTCTCCACCCCCCCCAAGGTCCTACTTCTGGATCTGGAATATAAAAAGCCTCAGGTTGATGTTCTTGGCCGCCAGGACTTTGTTGCACTCCACCGAGTCCACAATGGGCAGCGGCAGGTACTCTGTCTCGTTGCTCTCGTTGCTGAAGACGAAGTGGTAGATCACCGGGTGGATCTTCACGTCGTCGTAGGGTCCCTCCAGCAGCAGGAAGGAGCACTCCATGGGGGAGTTGACCTTGCCCTTGAGGATGAGCTGGAAGGACAAGGTGCGCTTGCAGGACAGGTTGGGGTTCCTCTCCGAGTCGTTGACGCGAGCCTTGAGCACCCAGGTCTGGTTGAGCACGGTGAGCCGCGGCGTCTCGTAGTACAGGCGCGTGATGAAGTCATCCGTGCGGTACGGGCGGAACTGCACCTCTGGGGGCAGGAGGAACGGGGTGGGTGAGGAGGAGGACGGAGGTGGGGCCTCCTCGGCACCCAGAGGCAACGGGGAGAGCACGAGGTCAACGAGAGGTGGGGGAGAAGGTCTGGGGTGGTGGCACCAAGTTATGGATCCTCCTCAGCACCCCCAAGTTATGTATCCTCCTCAGCACCCATGATGGAGCCAAAGGAGTCACTGGGTGGTGACATGACCCAATGATGGAGCCAAAGGAGTCACTGGGTGGTGACATGACCCAATGATGGAGCCAAAGGAGTCACTGGGTGGTGACATGACCCAATGATGGAGCCAAAGGAGTCACTGGGTGGTGACATGACCCAATGATGGAGCCAAAGGAGTCACTGGGTGGTGACATGACCCAATGATGGAGCCAAAGGATCCACTGGGTGGTGACACTGGGTGGTGACACCAATCCATGGATCCTCCTTGGCACCCAAACCCAAGATGTCGACCAACACCTCAACCTAAAGTGGGGATCAAGGTCCATGATGGAGCCAAAGGAGTCATTGGGTGGTGACTGCCACCAGATCCCAGCAGGCTCCCCCAGGATCCCTCAACATTCCAGGGACTGTCACCAGCTCCCAACAGGATCCCTCAACATTCCAGGGACAGCCACCAGCTCCCAACAGGATCCCCCAGGACCCCTCAACATTCCAGGAACCACCTCCAGGTGGAGTATCCCAGCACAGGGATGCCACACCCTGTTGATCCCAAGGAATATTCCCAAGGGGTTTTGAGATGGATCCAGGCCCATGCAATTCCTTCCACCTCCATCCTCACATTCCAGTGCTGTTTCACCCCAGCCCTCCCCAGAATTCCATGACAATTCCACCCCTCACCCACTACAACCACATCCCCAACAACCGGGACGAGGCTTGGGAAAACCCTTCGGAAAAGCAGCAACGGGGAGAGGAATCCCAAGGCCTCCTCGTGGAGATCCCACGGAGCACCACCGCTTCCCACTCTCCTCCAAGAAGTTCCCATCCCTGCAGGAAGGAGGAATTCCACCCCGGGGAGGCGCGGAATCCCCCCGGAATCCCGCCGGAATTACCCGTGTATCCGATCTTCTCGAAGCTGAGGAGGCTGAAGATGTTGTTGTAGAGCTGCATCTCCTTCTTGTGCGTCTGGTCCATCTCGTCCAGGATGTCCATGAGCTCGTTGCCGGTTTTGGTGGGATGGGTACACTCGGCCTCGTGCACACTCAGCTCGTGGAACGGCCCCTGCCAGGGACAGCCGATCCGCTTGTACTTGCACTGCGTCACCCTGGCACGGGAAACACGGGATGGGCTCGGAGCCGCCGGAGGGACGGGAAGGGGGTGAGGGAGAGATGGAGGGAATGAGGGTGGGACGGGGGAGAGGCAGGGAAAACCAGGAGGGGAGAACTTCCGGCGGGTCTCAGACTTCCAGCAGGTCCCACATCTCCCACACTTCCCAAACTTCCAGAGCTTCCCAGACCTCCAGCTCTTCCCAGACCTCCAGCACTTCCCAAACTTCACAGACCTCTGGCACTTCCCAAAATCTCATAGTTTCCCAAATTTCCAACACTTCCCAGACCTCCAGCTCTTCCCAAACTTCTACCTCTTCCCAGACCTCCAGCACTTACCAAGCCCAACACCAACCCAACCACAGAGTGTCAACTCCAACCCAACTGCAACCCAACCCTTGAGCCTCATGTCCAACCCAACCCTTGAGCCTCAACTCCAACCCAACTCCAACCCAACCCCTGAGCCTCAATTCCAACCCAACCCCTGAGCCTCATGTCCAACCCAACCCCTGAGTCTCAACTCCAACCCAACTGCAACCCAACCCTTGAGCCTCATGTCCAACCCAACCCCTGAGTCTCAACTCCAACCCAACTGCAACCCAACCCTCGAGCCTCACCTCCGACCAAACGCAACCCCGACCAGCACCGTGTGGAGTTCCCTGCTCTCACCTGTCCTGACATTCCTCCTTCTGGTGCCGCTCCAGGAGGGACCTGGGGAACTGCTGTGTGCAGAACCAACACTCCGAGGGCAGTTCGCTCACAGCCTTCTCCACCGCCAGGTTCCGGCAGCACAGGCTCTTGCTGATCTCACAGCGACAGTTGGGACACGTGGCCTGTTCCTCCTTCAGCCGCGCGTCCGCCAGCAGGTGGATGAAGCACCCGGCGCACATCAGGTGTCCATTGGTGCACTGGGAACGGTGGAACGAGGGTCAGATCCTACTGGGAATCACGGGGGAATCCCAGAGGGACACGGGAGGGAGAAGGAAGGACAAGGAGGGGTTGGGTTGAGTTGGGTAGGGTTGGGTTGGTTGGGTTGAGTTGGGTAGGGTTGGGTTGGTGTCCCAAGGCTGTCCCAGGAGATGGATGGAGCACCCAGAGCACATCACGTGTCCTTGGGGCACTGGGGACGGTGGGACTTGATTATTAATAGCTATTATTAGTGATTAATTATCCAAGTGGGAAATGCAATTCCTACTCTTTATTCCTACCCTTTATCCCTGTTATTTATCCCTATTCACTGCTATTGATCCATTACTATTATTACTCCTTATTACAGATTATTATCCACTGCTACCACTGATTATTAATAGCTCTTATTACTGATTAATTATCCCAGGGAGAAATGCAATTCCTACTCTTTATTCCTACCCTTTATTCCTATTCTTCAATACTCATTAATTGTTACTATTCCCCATCAACATTTATCCTTATTTATTGTTCTTATTCATAATTAATATTAATTATTAATTACTTATCCCAGTGGGAAGTGCAATTCCTACTCCTTTTTCCAACTCTTTATTCCTGCCCTTTATTCCTGTTATTTATCTCTACTTAGCACCATTTCTCCATTCCTATTATTACTCCTGATTACAATTATTATTCATTGCTAGCACTGATTATTAATGGCTGTTATTACTGATCGAGTATCCCGGTGGGAAGTGCAGTTCCTACTCTTTATTCCTGCCCTTTATTCCTGTTGTTTATCCTACTTAACACCATTTATCCATCACTATTTTTATCCTTTATTACAGTTTATTATTCATTGCTACTATTGATTATTAATAGCTGTTATTGCTGATTAATTTTTCCAAGTGGGAAGTGCAATTCCTACTCTTTATTCCCACTCTTTATTGCTGCTATTTATCCCTATTTACCACTATTGATTTATTATCATCATTCCTCACTGTACTCCTACTGATCCCCATCATTCATGGCTATTGATTGCCTTCATCGTAATCATCAGCATCATTATCACAACGCTCATTATCCCATTTTCCCTGTTATCACCTGCATTATTGGCTGTTACTGATCCACGTATTGCAGCCACTCAATTAGTGTTGCCATCATCATTAGGATGATTATGATCATTATGAGGATTCTTTAGACTCAACCGGGTTGGAAGAGACCT